AAGTAAGTAAAGTAAGTAAGTAAGTAAGCAAGTAAATAAATAAATAAATAAAGCCAAACCCATTGTCAGGTAAGGACACCCTGATGGACTATCAATTGAGGTGTTTCAACAAACAGATGCAGCCCTGCATATGCTCACCAGTCTGTGCCCAGAAATTTGGAAGACAGCTATCTGGCCAACTGACTGGAAAAGATCCATTACATTTGTTCCCCAAAACCAGCAATCCAACATAGTGCAGATATTACCACATGGTATCATGCAAGTGGACTCTGAAGAATATTCCAGAAAGACAGGAAACATTCAGAAATTCAAGCTGGATCAGGAAAGGCTTGGATAAAGGGGAACTAGGATATACTTAAGCTCTAGTGGCTTAACAACAGTTAAGAAGTCTCTCTGCAACCCTGAGGGCATACAGTTTTAATCTACTACCTATTCCACCCAACTGATTAATTGCCTTTGAAAACCAAAAGGAAGGTCAGTGAAGGGTCAGTAACAACAGGGATATCATCACTGATGTTAAGAGGGATCTTGGCAGAAGGCAGGATAAAAAAAAATCTACTTATGTTTTACTGAGTATGCAAAGGCATTTACTTAACTATATGGAATACAATACATTATGGACAATGTTGAGAGGAACGTCAGTCCCAAAACGCTTAATGGTACTTATGTGAAACCTACACATAAACCAAGAAGCAGTTGACCAAACAGAACAAGGGTCCTATCGGCATCAAGAATGGAGAAAAATGTGGCAGTAAGATTGGAGGAATACCCATTAACAACCTAAATTACACAGATTAGTAACCTTGCTGGAAAGTGGAGAAGATTTGAAGCACATACTGTAGAAGATCAAAGAGTACAGGCTTAAATATAAATTACATTTCAACATTAAGAAAACAAAATTGCTCACCACTGGACCAATAGCCAACATCTTATGGATTTATGAAGGTAAGATTGAAGTTGTCGGTAATTTCTTTTTTTTTTAATTTTACTTTATTATTTTTTGCACGTGTACCGTCAAATCTTGAGTACTTTAGAGAGGCCCCTAACTGCAGACTTTCCCATCACAATACGTTTTTTGATTTCCTGGCTACCGGTGCCAAGAGTGTTGACCGTGGAGCCGAGCAAACTGAAGCTGTGAACAATCTCAATCTCTTCACCATCCATCCTGATGCTACCGATTGGTCCAGTGGTGAGAATTTTTGTCTTCTTGACATTGAGCCTCAGACCATATTGAAGGCTGCAGTCCTTGACCCTCTGCAGTAAGTGCATGAGGTCCTCCTCAGTTTCGGCGAGCAGGGTTGTGTCATCTGCATAACGCAGATTGTTGATAGATCGTCCACCAATCCTAACACCACGCTTCTCCTCATAGAGCCCAGCCTCTCGGATAATCTGCTCTGCATACAGGTTGAAAAGGTATGGAGACAGGACACATCCCTGGCGTACACCCTTCCCAATTTTGAACCATGCAGTGTTGCCCTACTCTGTTCTGACGACTGCCTCTTGGTCCAAGTATAGGTTTCGCATTAACACAATTAAATGTTCTGGGATTCCCATTCTTCTCAGAGTCAGCCACAGTTTGTTATGATCCACGCAGTCAAATGCCTTTGCATAATCAATGAAACACAGATAGACATTCTTCTGGTATTCTCTGCTTTCAGCTAAGATCCATCTAACATCAGCAACAATATCCCTAGTACCACGACCCCTTCTAAACCCAGCCTGGACTTCTGGCAGTTCTCTGTTGATGTACTGTTCCAGTCGGTTTTGGAAAATCTTCAGTAGAATCTTGCTTGCATGTGAAATCAATGATATTGTTCTGTAGTCTCCACATTCAGTTGGGTCGCCCTTCTTTGGGATGGGGACAAATATACACCTATTCCAGTCAGTTGGCCAAGTGGTTGTTCTCCAGATTTCTTGGCACAGCTTAGTGAGCACATCCATGGCAGCATCTGTTAGCTGAAATATGTCAATTGGTATACCATCTATTCTGGCGGCCTTATTTTTTGCTATTTCCTTCAAAGCAGCTTGAACTTCTGCCTCAGTAGCCAGGAAATAAAAAAACGTATTGTGATGGGAATGTCTGCGGTTAGGGACCTCTCTAAAGTACTCAAGAGCAACGGTGTCTCTTTGGAGACTAAGGTGCGCCTGATATAGGCCATGGTTTTTGCAATCACTTGTTATACATCAGAGAGTTGGACAATGACTAGGGAGGATAGAAGGAAAATTGACGCCTTTGAACTGTGGTGCTGGAGAAGAGTATTGAATGTACCATGGTCTGCCAAGAAAACAAATAGATTCATCCTAGAGAGGGTTAAACCAGGCTGCTCCTTGGAGGCAAGGATTCTGGGGCTTTACCTGACATACTTTGGACATGTTGTAAGGAGAGACAGGTCTTTAGAGAGGGACATCATGCTGGGCAGAGTGGAGGGACAGCACAGGAGGGGAAGACCCTCTATGAGGTGGATTGATTCAGTGACTGGGGTAATCGGCATGGGAGTGTCAGAGGCAATGAGATTGGCACAGAATAGAGCAGGGTTTAGGGCTGTTGTACATAGGGTCGCTATGAGTCGCAAAAGACTCGACGGCACATAACAACAACAACAACCGTCAAATCAGATCTGACTGGTACAGGAGGAGATTGCCCCTCCTTTTCCAGCAGAGCATCTGGTGGATTTGAACAGCATATCCCTGGGATTGTAGTGCCATTTCTTGCCAGTAGGCCACCAGAGCTCCCTTAGTAAGTTAAGTTCATTTTACTTGGAGCTCTAACACCAGTGGTAGCAGCATCAAGAAAACAAGACATGCTGCATTGGGGACATCTGCTGCCTTTAAAGAGCAAGGATGTCAGTTTCAAGACTAAGGTGTATCTGATGCAAGCTCTGGTATTTCTAAATACTTCTTTTTTTTTTTTTTTTTTCAAAGGCGCCGGGACCAACGATCACCAGCTGCCCCATGGGCAAAAATTATGCTTCCGAAATCTCTTGATGTCGATTCCGCACATAGAGCAACAGAATTCCCCTACGTGTGCCACTTCACGGCAGAAGCCCTTTTTTTATCTAAATACTTCTTATGCTCTGCAAGGTGGACAACAAATAAGGAAAACCAAAGAATTGATGCCTTTGAAATGTGAAGCTGGAAAGAGTACTGAATATACCAATATGTGTCAGATCTGTCTTGAAGGAGTGGAACCAGAGTGTTCCTTCAAGACAAGGGCAGTGAAACATCATCTTATATACTTGCAGCATGTGTTAGGAAGGGCCAGACTTTGGAAAAAGACATCATCGTGGGAAAAGTGGAGGGTCAAAGAAAGAGAGGAAGGCCCTCAACAGGATGGACAGACACCGTAACTGTAACAATGGGCTTGATCAGAGTTCTTATCAGTTGTTACAGGGTCCCCATGACTCAAAGTCAACTTAATGGCACCTAACAACAACACACCTAGACTAATCAAGAAATAAAATTTAAAGCTGTCTGGTATGATAAACTCTCAATACATAATCAGTTCCTAGTTATCAGTAAATTTTCCATCACAACAGTTCTAAATATTTTTTAACACCTAAACACACTTCACTTACAAGACAAAAACGTTTTTAAAGTATCAGTCGGATGGTAATTTCATCCAAACCCGCTCATATAGTTTATGCAGAATGGCAATTCATAACTAACATATTATATATCCAGTGCCTTAACATACATATATAATAACATGCATAAAATATATATAATAACATGCATATAATATATAACATGCATATCATATATATACCATATTCATGAATCATCTCCTAAACAAAAGATGTACAACATCATTTTAAAAAGCGATATAATCATACATTTGTGAGCTACAAAATACACCTATCCTTATGCCATGGCGTCAGAAGTGGAGTTGAAACCAACCCATAGTTGACCCTCCAGTTTTTCAAAGGCTGTAAATCACACAGGAGTGGACTGCCCATCTTTCTCCCACAGAGCAGCTGATAGATTTGAACTGCAGACCTTTGGGTTGCTAGCACAAATCCTTACCACTAGGTCACCAGAGCTCTCCACTCATGTTAGGGGACACTAATCTTTTAAAATCTATGCTTCCACTTCTTTTCCATCATTGGAAATCTGCGCAAAACGGAAGGTGTTAAATGATCATAAGGAACTCCGGTGACCTAGTCTGCAGGTACCGGTGCTGCTCTGCCTCTTGGAATCCACCAGTGGTCTCTCAGGAGAAAGATGGTCAACCTCTCACCATTCCATTTACAGCCCCTGAAATTCAGTAGAGAAATAACTACAAGTTGGTTTCGACTCCAAAGCGATGACAGAGAGAGAAATAGAGTTCGCAGAAAAGAATATGGGATTGGGCGACAACTCCTCATTGAAATTTCAAAATTTCATTTCGTGAGGAAGAAAAGCTGGCAGGAGCACCCAATTATTGTTGAATATATGTCTGATAACAACGCAAAGCCTTTCTGTAAATCCTACAACCCAGAACAGGCTAGGATCAAAAAGACTCATTAACTTGTCACATGCAAACAGCAAGTCAAACGGAATTCCTTGAAATACCACAATCTATTCCTCTGTCAACTCTGGCACGAGTTCCGTCTGAGAACAGAAAGTTACAATCAAAGCACATCTGTAGCAACATTTGTTAGTTTTCTAGGGCTGCAAAGAGATACATTTCCGCCCGTTCGCTTCAAAGTCAAACCCTCTTTCAGACTTAACACACAAAGACCTTTTTATATATACTTTTTTTAAAAATCATCGTAAGCAAAGCCTGTATAAATGTAAACTGCTCCTTGGTCCAGATGAAACTAGTAAGTGTCAAAACAGCTTCAGAAATTCTCCCGGAGACATCACCAGGAGCGGAAACTTACAAGGGCGCTGTCAAAGGTAGAGTCCAGATGCTGCCAGCAGGTCAGCACCCAGCAAAGTTCTCAGAGTTTACGGGGCGATCAGCAAAGAGGAGCCGGGAGGGCTGCACCAATGGACGAAAGCTAGACAGTCTCCCTTACCTGGAGGAAGTTGAATGTTGGCAGGCAACAGGATCGTGGTGCTGGGGGCTTTGGCGGCGGTGACCAGCTGCGGAGCGGGCAGCTGGGGTCCACTAGGTTTAGGGACCGCGTTGGCCGGAGC